CGTCTGGTCCACTGGCGCGTTTCTGGATCCGTGAGGCGATTACCTCGAGCCTGATCTGACGATAATCCCACTGGCTTCTTGCCGGATCTGGCTCGATCCTGGCTGGATTGTGTCAGATCACGCGTAGGGCGTACTGGATCCCGAGCTTTCACGTTCACAGGGACTTCCTGTCCTCGGATCCTCGCCCGCGCTTCCAGCATGGATGCCCCGGAGGGTCCTAAAGTCATGCGTCGTGGTTCGGACGACGTGTCTGACTCATCCTCAGCGGCGGATTCGTAGTTTGAGGACGCAGCTTGGCTGATCCTCGGCGACGACACTGGATCCATAGTGCGCGACCTTTCTCCGGTGATGGACTTAACTCTGGCAAAGAGGTCCCGCGTCGCGGATACTATGAGATCCAGGTCTAGCTCGAAGATATCCTCTGCGTCGAACACACCAGCTACGATGCCTGACTCCGTAAGCAAACGTAATAGATCTTTGACTGCCACCAACTTGTTCGCCGCTTTCGTTGGTGCTCTCACCGGTTCCCTTGGATCTTCGATCTGTCGTGGATTCAGGATCTGCATGACAGGATCTTGATGCAGGAAATCGCGTAGAGCTTGGTGGCGATACACAAACTCGAGATCCTTGTCGGACCAGCTTGACCTGGATTCAGCTTGGTCTTCTTCCGACTCTGGAGCTTGCATCTTCTTCCGCGTAGTCTTAATTGTTTTCGTCTTCTTTCTTGTTTCTTCGACTAGCGGGCTTGGGTTTAGGTACGGTGTTGGCTTAACCGGTGAATCTGCAAATGCATACCGTTTCGCCTTCACTTTCCCTTGTTTTGTTAGCGGATCTTGACTTGCGTCAAGATCCGCAGGGGTCCCCGAGGGGACCTGGGGAGGATAGAGAGGTTTCTCTTCTAGATCCGGATCCGGATCCACCTCTCTTCCGTCGACAGAGTTCCTCCCAAAACTCCATCGATCCGCGGATCTTGTTTCATTCAGCAGCGTCTTCGTCGATCCGACCTCCGACGACGCCTCTTCCCCTGGCTCAATCTTCACTTGAGCATCTTCTTGGGACTCACGGTGAAATCCCGAGTCACCAAAAGATCCGGGCACGCGCACCATTGTGGTGTAGCGGGATCAGCAAAATCTGCGAGATTGCCAGATCCAACTTACCAACTGCGCCCAGACACCGACTAACGGAGGGGGTCCCCCGATGATCCGTGTTCTGCTGAACTTTCCTCACCTTGTGTACCCGTCGGTAGGGCGGGATCTGCTCTCTCGGTAACTTCCGAAGAGTTCAAGTGGTGAAGCTTGAGTGTCTTGGCGAGACGTGGGGATGGGGTGGAGCAGCAGTGGAAAATCTTCACTCTGCGTCCGTGGATGGTTCCGTATCCTAAGCGAATATTCGAGCTTATGGATCCGGGGCCTAGATCGTGGATCTGGCCGTAGGGTTGCCTTGCGGGTGTGTTCCCTTGCCTTTGTGTTGTCCTTTAAGTCGTACTTGCCGCCTCCTGTGACGGGATCTTGAGAGTTGAGAACCTCTAGGGTGTAACCGACCAAGTAGTAAATTCGGTTAACCTGTCGGATCTGCACGAGTAAAGGAAAAGCTCACTAGGTTGTAGGATCTGGCCAATGTATTATCCAGTTATCACTACCAACACTAGATTCGCAATTCCCAACCTTCTCGGAGCTCGTACGGCCAATATAGTTCCGGTTCTTGAGGGCGGGAAGGCACTTGCGTGATACTGTGCAAATTGAGGACTGTATTGATATTTAAGCCTATACCTGCCTGGATTTCTACCTTCTATGTCTTTCATCTGCTAAATCCCTTACCAGGCTCGGCTGCATGTCCCTTCTTCCCTTGACCCATCACCCCAGCTGTGTTATCTTCAGATCCACCGGATCCATGACGTAATCATCCTGGTCACCCTATTTTGGGTACACTCATCCGGATCCAGGTCGCTTGGATCCACTTCACTGTAAGTGCACACTCGTCGTGGATCTGAGCTCTCCAATCATCCAACATCATCTCGCAACCGTCTGTGATCTCCATTGTCCCACGAAAGTTCGAGATCCACTGCATCCATCATCCCTATACCCTGGATCCAGGTCCCTCCAGGCGGGATCCTCCCTCCTTGGATCCGAACTCGGAAGTATGGGATCCGGGGTACATCGCGGTGGATCTTGACTCCTCATTAGTCGTGGCTACTAGATCCACCTTCAGAGGGCACCTACCACCATTCCTTCATAGGATCCACACTCGATCCACCCGTACATAGCGTATCCCATATCCACCCAAGTGGATCCAGGTAAGGGTGGATCCGAGATAAGTCTTGGTGGATCTTGCCTTCTCGTACATCGCTTATACCAGATCCATCGTCATTTCATACGGGGTGCTGCTCGCCATGGCTAATCCACCACCGGCAACTTGCATCCGTGCCAGCCAACCCAAATCCTCTCTAATCACTTGAAATTGTCATTGATTCGGGATAGTGACCCCGCGTCAGGCCCATTCTCTTATTTCTGAATAAGCACTTTACCACAGATGCTCTCGCCGTTTGCTGTTCTGTATTGGTCGTCACTGTATAGTGCGTCCTTCAGCCGTTCTGTTGCCCTGACCAGATGCACGCTGGATCCGCTATGCAAGATCCACGCGTGTGTGTTGGCGCCCGTGCCCGTCCCGATTGCTAGCGATATCTTTATCTTTTTTACACCGTCCTTCTTCTTTGCTGGACAATTGCTCGATATGTGTCCTATCTCGTCGCAGTTGTAGCACTTGCGGCTGTCAGTATCGTCAATTCGTGAGACGGACTCAAGTCCTTGTTCACCGTGGGTACCTCGGCTCCCACCATGAAACCGACTATGTTTTCTGTTGCCCGACTTCCTTGACCGCGAGATCGTTCGTACTTGGCCATACTTGCCTGGAACTCGACCGCGAAGGTTACCAACTCCGTAGCCTGGTGCAAGTGCTCCATGGGCTGCGAGTTTATGCTTGTGAGCATGGCACTTTTCAAGAAGCCGGGTGCTGACTTGCACAAACACTGTTACACGTGCAGATCCAAACACCTCGAGCGTTCAGCCACATACGTCAAGTACTGAAAGTGCTCCGCCCACGTCCTCTCGCGCAACTTGTCTACCATAATCAACTGCGGTCCCTTGGACGTAGTGATCGTCGTCAAGTACGGTACTACCATCTGGTTCATTAAGTGCCCCAGTGTAAGAGACTCCGTCGTCCAGAGTGGAAGCATTTTGTCGATATACACCAGTGCAGTTCCATCCGACTTACCATTCCAAGCGATGGCTCGGAGCTCCTCCGACCTGTCACCATCGCTCACGTGCTGGGCTGACGTCAGTCGCTACAGGAACCTCGGTCCCCATGTCTTGCAGTCCACATCAAGGCCAGGGTAGACTTCCTTGCTCGTGAGCTTCGCAAAGCCCGGTCAGTTCAGGTCACGTGGCTTCGGCACCTTGAGGTTAAAGCTCAGTGGCGGCACGTACTGCTCCGCCATCGGTGCATCTACCCGCTGCTGCATGTTCGTCGCATCATCTGTCTGCAGTGTCAGTATCTCCGGTGCTAGCGTCGCTTGCGTTGGTGCTCCCATCGACGTTTTGAGAGATCCTACTTTCATCCGTCGAGCACGAGCCTTGATAAAATCTGTAAACGCGGTCAACTCTCCGTACTTGTGCCCGAAGGATGGCGTGTTCGTGGGATGCTTCAGTTGCTTTTGAAGACCCCTAGTCAGCCATGACCTTGGCCTGTTTCTTTATCATATCTTCAATGGGCCCTTCAGTTCTGTCTAATCGCTCAGTGCTTGCGCTGGGGTTTCGGCTCTTCCTTCCGGAGCCGTCGGGCATGCCTGACTGAGAGTGCGTCCCCTCGAAGAGCTCAAGCGGGTCTGCAGCCATGTTCAGCGGTCTCTTGAATATCGCGCGGGTTTGGTCGCTGTGATGTGTCGTCGGACCCGTTGCGCTCATAACCTGTTGGGCGCTTTACTTGTGCTCGACTTGGAAGATTGAAGACAGTTGTAGTGTACAAGTAAGTCTGTTTGGCAATGTCATACGCATTCTCTGCTTTGAGAGCTTTTTTTTAGTGTTCATCTTTCTCACCTTCTCTGCTGATGCTCACCTTCTCAGGTTCGATGAGATCTACACTCTCAACATTGTGTACGACGTCCCAGGATCTCCTGCAAGGTCCGCCCCCCCTCCTCCAAACCTAGACCTACAATCGACCCGTAAATGACCCACAAAAATATTGTTCGAGATGTACTCGACGTAAATCGAACTTCTGCAGCAAAAAAAGCGGTTGTCGCCACCAACAAGTGGGCGTATGCTGTTAAAAAGACAGAACACGGAGAAGAGGTTCAAAAGCTCGTTGAACAAAATGTTACACCAAGAGGAGGTACATGTCACAAAAAACACCACGATGTAAGTGCCCCGAATGTATGAAGGTATTATACTTGGCTACATGTATCACAGAAGCTGGTACTTGTCTGGGATACTTGGCAAGCAGAAAAAATGCATGGAGATTGTGTTTCGAAAACTGATCTGACGGGTCCTCATTATCGGGCAAGGGGGTATCTCTCTCTGGTCCACTTAAGAATCGACAGTTTAATTTAACCTCATTTTAACGTGGTCCACATTTGGCTTTTTAATTGGACAGAATATTAGTTTATATCATACGATTGGCCAAACGTTTTGGGTTTTCGATGTGCCATCGAAATTAGTCCGAAAAACCTCTGTACGTGGATAATGAAGCCCCAAAGTACGCTAGACATTTATCACATACATGAGAATGTAGGAAAATGTCTCAGGATTTAAAGGCTACCTTTTTCAATGAATATCGTTAAAAATTGATAGTGCTGCGATAAAAACCTAAGTCGACTCAAAACCGTCGACTCAAATTGAACCTTTGCATTCACAATTTCTGCTGATTTTAACAGCCAATCATATCACGCGAAACAGGATAATCTCAGGATTTTTTTTAGGTATGGCAGACGGGGTACCAATTTTCCGTCCTCATCGACGAACCAAGCGCTTGTAGACTACTTCTTCACGTTGTATGCCCTGGGTCGAGAGTTGCCTAGATGCCAGGAAGCAGCCGATACAGAAAACGTAAGCGTGGGCTGTCATCCCCGGTTTGGTGTGGCTTAATCGCATCACAAGCTTCTTGCTGACACTGCAGGCCTGCACACGTGCTATAATACAAAGGTCAGTACTTGTATCATCAGACTAAACAACAAGCAATATTAGATGTACCTGGTGGCGACTTATACACGGCTTACTTGGGTTGAGAAGAGTTTCCCGATCGCCTTCTGGCAATACGAACACACAGTCGGATCTTCATTCTCTGCCACCCGAGTTGTAGCCGTCGAAAGTGAGTACGACGATTTGGATGTCGTGAGAATGTCCACAGCTCGTTTCTCGGCCGCCGACTTGTGCAAATGCCATCGCAGTTTCTGCCTTGAGCGCATTCCATCGGAGCGCCCATACGTAAGATGCTGTGGGCGACTTCTTGCAGTACGAAAAATGAAAACACGGTGCCGCCCGGGTCGATTACTGTGTGTGCAAAAGACTCGACGATCTGGTCGCTTTGCTGCCAGAAGATGACGCAGAAGGACATGCTAGCACGGACAATATCGAGGTTTTTCAGCTCCGGCAGGTCCGGGTGCGATACGGACTGGGCGATGCTGTACCCGATCCGTTCACCACGCGACGTAATAGCGAAGCCAGTTCTCATGAGGACGACGTAGTCTCGTTGCTTGACAATCGCTCCTAGACCGGAAGTTGAAAAGAGGATCCAAGCGACACTTAGAAAGTCGAACGAATTGTGTTCGGTAGTACTCTCGAGTACCCAATATGACCAGGTCGTACATGCCGTTTTTTGCCGTAGATATACTACGTCTCCTTAGTGATGTTGTGTCATGAACGAAGATGCCGTCCATGACGTCGTCCAGAGTGCCTTGAACTGTGCCCGTACACACCACGACGAGGGTTTTAGTGGCCACCGAGAATGACGATGCAGGCGATCAACAGTGCGTCGACCATCTCGACATGATCCCGTGACGATACAGAAGACACGGCTGTCACTGAAGTCGAAAATGTCGATATGCTCGAGTTGAAGTTCGTGTCGCCTCTACCTGATCGCTGGTGATAGACTCTCATGGCTCCTCTGTAGTCCAAACATGCTTCCACCGCCGCATGTCGAGTGTCTGCATCCTCTCGTTCAGGAATTCTTCAAACAGGTCTCACGAAACTTTCGTCGGCGATGCTGCGGTACTCACTCGCGTCATCAGCGGTGAACGCCACCGCCGGCAGCTTCGTACGCGTTGGTGCATCGGGCATTGCTTGGTGATTGTCGAGTACGCTACTGGAGATTCTTTTTAGTTCGACTGGCCGGCTTTGGCACCCTCTTCACGACATATAAGGCATGATGTTCCCCCGTTGACACGAGGTCCTACACTCGCAGGAGCCGGACCACACTGCAACTTCGTCCTGTTGTAGCCTCTACATGTACGTACATGTACTTCGAGGCCTGAAAGTTGCTCCGAGAGCTACATGTATTAAACATGTGCATCTACTGTAGACATGTTTGGGACGCATAAGAGACTTGGGGCGTGGCCATTTCGAGTTGACCGCCCTCTCCCGTGTTTAATGCTGCAAGCCTTGCAGAGCAAGTTTTTCAAGCGTTAAACAACTGCATCTCCTAAAGACTGAGTAAGACCTCAATATTGCTCACGGGAACAGATATGTGGCCACGCCGCCGCTGATCGCTGTCGTCGCTAGCACGGACACCACATTCACCTGCTCGTTGCTCAGTAGATCGATACCACACACGTGCTCGACGTCAACTTGCGACGCAAATTCATCGCAGATTTTACGCGACGAGCGGTCGAAGTACGTGGCCTGCACTGTTGCGCCGAGCACCGAGTCGAGTATGGAGCTGAAGAGCCCCGTTACGGCACCCAGCGTGATGACCTGGAGCTGCGCCGTCTCAGACAGCAGACTACCGGCGTAGTACAGTGCGCCGATGAAGGCCCCACCCAAGGCCGACATTGTCAGACCCAGCATGGACACGCCGCCGTTGGTACCGGGCGGTACCCGTCGCATCGTAGTGATAAGCCTCGGTTCACTTTTGCTGAGAACGCCAAGCTCGGACGCCCACGTATCGGCCGCGCAACATGCGTAGTGTCCGATGAAGCTGGCCAGTAGGTAGCTGCGCTCCGGGGAGCTATTAAAATCGAGGGCCACCTCGTCATCCCCGAACCGGACGACGGCGTAGACGGCGATGAAAGTGGCGAGTAGGCTGCAGGCCAGTACTTGACGTGCTGACCGCTGGCCGCCGGACTTGTAGTTGGCGTCGAGCTGCTGCTTGACGCTGGCTCGCACTTTGGTGAGCTTGCTGCCGGAGAAGTAGAAACCGAGCAACAACAGACCTGGAGAAAGTGGTTTAGATGGATAGCGTGAAGATACGGGACACGACGAACGTACCGAAGCGGTAGCCCGACGCGAGTGTGAAGAAGCCCACAAAGCAGGCAGCGGCCGCGCCTGACACATCCAGCGACTGCTTCTTGAGGCCACGGCGGCCCAGACTACCGGCAAGCAGCGCCGCCACTAGGACACGAGACAGCGGGACCGCCATGTTTAGCTACGATTTGCTACAGCGCTAAAATGGATACAAATTTTAAGTTAGTTTGGTGCCAAGTATTAGAAGACCTTGACACTGGCGGTAGAAAGAAAGCACGAAAGCATTGCGGCAAGCTACACTGGCTCAGCATACATTGTTTGTACGAACGCTTCTGCTCCGAAGCGCGCACGACTAATAAACTACAATTATCTCACCGTTCGGTGGCATCGACTACCGCGGTTTTAGGCAGCACTGTACCCGGACGATACTGTCGCTGGGTCTTCAACGTACAACATGACACGAGGAGTAGCAGAGGACGATCGATGCAGAGCAGGTTGAACGTACGCAGCAGTGCTGTAGGCCTTCTGACGCGGCTGATAATAAGGAGATGCCGCGTAATGCGAGAAATGCTGCGAGCCGTTAGAGGCCTGCGACGAGCGGGAATTGTACGGACGTCCAGTCTGAGTCAACCGCCGACGTATGGACGACGGACGAGATCGGCTGCTTGGGCGGTTCATTGTGCTTTGAGGAGTGACGAGGCCAAAGCTTGTCTGCCCTAGAATCTCCTCCACCACGATCTGCGAGGCATTGCGCTGGTTGGCACGCAAAACACACGGCAAACAGAACTTGACTGGCTTCTGGCAAATGGCGTTCATGTTGCTGGCGCCACTGCTACTGCTGCTACGACTCCGACTTCGCTCCGTGGACGCTCGGGACGCCTCGGGTCGGTCAAAGTCGCGTACGCCCATACTTCCGCCCAGGTCCACGCCACTGTTCAAAGGTAAATTGTTGTATTCACTTCGTAAAAAGCGCAACTTCTTGACGACACTGCAGCGTGAACACACCATCTTGGCGCAAATAGCGCAGGGTGTTCCGCTTCGGTTGAGTAGATGGCCAACTCGACGATCACACAGTGAGCAGTTAGTTGACCAGGCTCCATCGCCCAAAATGGTATCAGTGTCTTCATCGCATAGTTCTTCGATGCCAATCATGCCTCCATCACCATAGGCGGTTTTGTTCAGCTGGCTTGCTCTGCGCCGGCAGCCGGCTTGGTGCGCCGCGAAGGCGATCTTCTTAAGGTGCGCACAGTCGACTACGGAGAAGGTCATGTGCAGCAAAAGTTCTGCTCCAGTGTTGACAGCCACGAACTGCATCATGCCGCCTTGAGGGTCGTAGTATCCTCTAGCGAACACGTTCAGCGTGCCAGTAAGGCCAGCAGAGACCTCGGACGAAGGCTGCTGGTGGAATAATTGCACAAACGAAGTACGAGCACGAATGACCGAGGACGAAATGCTCGTAGTGGCTAGCAGGGTCAGCGCCTTGATGCTCACTGAGTGCATGACACGGTAGCCCACTCGGTCTCCGTTCGCCATCTTGGTAACCCCCGTGGCCTCCAGATAAAGCAGGTCTCGTCGCTTGGCCATGGCGTCGCGGCGAACGGCCCATTTGAGGCCAAGGAACCGAAAAGGTTCCTCTATACTCGGGCTCTCAATCGTGGCCAACACTTCTGCGTCATCGAGGGCGTCGTCAGCATACGCACTATTAATCTTCATGGAGCGCGTGTTGGAGCTAACCAGACCGTACATGGCGTCATTGACACGGCCAGCCACGTAACCGGTGACCATGAGAAGCGGTAGGTCTGTCTCGTTGGCCGTACACTGATCGAGTTGCTGCTGGCTCGTGGTCACGGCCTTGACTGTCTCCTTCTTTTGTTTGAAGACGCAGAGTTGGTCTTTCTTCTTAATGAGCTTCCACTGCTGGAGATCCACCTGTGGCTGACGATGACCAATGACCGAGTGGCCTTCATACGCCTTGAGTGTGTCGGCCAGCAGAAGCTCGGCGAGTCGCACGCAAACCTGGACCTCGTCCTGTGAAAGACTCACGGCACGCCGCTCCAAGGCCGAGAACGCGGAAAGTGTCTCCAACTCCACCATGTTGCTGGTCGTGTGTGCACGCCCTCGTGATCCTAGACGCGGCCGAGGGAAGCGGCGTTGGCGCTGGTGATTGCTGCCGTCCATTGCGAGCGTCGGCTGGGGGCTATCGCTCGAACTGACCCGCAACTGAACGAGCAAAAGGGCGAATGAAAGTTGCACGTAATGCAATCTCGCACGAACTTTTTAAAGTGGTCTGTAAACTATCCAAAAGTGTGAAAAGAGATAGAAATCACAAAGTGTTTTAGCGATAGATTGGATAATAAAGGTAATTTCAGAAGAAACGTGTACCGATAATTCACAGTTACTGGATATAAAATGCTACAGCCGCCCGAAATGGATAATCGAGACCTTTATGTGCACGGGCGATTGGGAGCATAGTGGGGTCAAGTCGAAGTGCCATAAGGTGAAGCACGTGTACAAGCGGAATTAGGCGCGCTTCATGATGGCCCCAACATGCTCTTCACAGCCCTACTTTTATACTACGTATACTTAAATTACCAGGCATAGTACCATATAGCCATATTAATAGTTATACATGCATGGCAAGATATTAATACATGTAGTACGAGCCGTTCTCTTGCTTAACACCCTGTCAGTGGATCTCGTTGTCACAATGGTTGTACACTGTAACTTTCAGTATTGACCTTTTCTTCACGAAAAACAGCAGGGTCATCCCAACGCTGTGCGCTCCCTACACTTGTTATAACGTCCTGGCTCCACGCAAGCCTTCCCCGTGGATTCCAGTTGGCTCCATCATTGTCTTGGTCCGGACGCTGTGACCCGTGTCTATGAGCCGCAACCTATATCTTGAGGAGCAGGTCAACTTGTCGTTTGACTTTTATTACATGACCCTTGGTTTCCAAGCGTGTTGTGCATGAAATCACACTTTGTGAAGGGTATTGGAGGGTAATGCCTAGTGGTAATTAGTGGTCACCACTGGTAAATTATCCGGCACTTTGTAGCCCCACACGCTTTTCCGGACTTGTTATCTTTCGTGCTAATGGTTGTCGGATATCTACTGACGCCAAATCTGCAGTACAAGTGTAGCTATCGCTCACCAACCAAACTCAAAAACGGTTACACAGATGGACATTCAGTATATGTACCTCGACGTACAATATGCTGCCTCAACGCTGATGCATTCCGATCAAAACGCTGAGTGCTATAATAACTCCCTTCAAACAATGTGCAGTCGTGCTGTCGCTAGGTTGAAAAATGTACTGTAACAGGATACATCTTCACTTATCAATGTAGTAATTTCGCTGTCTCCTCACACCTGCAGGTCAGTACTTGTACGTGTACTTCAAGTACTCGAGAAGCACCTTCGTATCGTGTTCTCGATTTTGTCAATCAAAATATCGACTCCTCAAGCTTCAGAATCAATATAGGAGTTGAAACGTATGGTCGAAAGGACATAGGTAGTCGTTCTTATCAATTGCTGTAAGGCGAAAGAAAAATATTCGAGTTGAAAGGTATTACTGTACATGTGAAACAAATATCGTGAGCTCACCGAAATTAAGATTTTCTTTTGAAGATAGTGTAGCCATCTTTGGATTGGTCAATAAATGCGACACCACAACATTATCATACCAGTAAGCGAGGGGCGGAAAGCGTCTTCTCCGCGGCCGCCTTCTCGACTTCATCCCGGCCGCTCAGACCGGGCCAGACGGCGGGTAACTCGTCATGGCCAAGGCTATTATCTCCTCTGTGCGTACACGCCCTTCCATCTTCCAGTTTTGAGCTACGATCTATATATCCTCACATTCTAATTGCCATGTCATTGTTTCTTGAGAAAGATTCTCGAGGCTCAGCTAGGTAAGTATGTGGACGGGTTACGTAGCGACTCACTGGTTGTGGGTCTATGGAGCGGTGAGCTGGAGTTGCGTGACCTGGTTCTCAAGCCCCACGCACTGGCCGATCTGCAATTGCCCGTGGCCATAACCAGCGGCACCGTAGCCCGCGTATTAGTGCGCGTGCCGTGGAATCAACTGGGCAGCGCCAGCGTAACTATCGCTCTGGAGGGCGTATCGGCTCTTGTGGTGCCTAATACAGCGCGACCAGGCCCGGCTGAGCTGCTGCAGGCCAAGAAGAACCAACTGGAGAGACGAGAGCTACTGCGTCAACACCGCCGCTTTGCTGCACGCGTGGCTCCAGGCCATGCTCAGGAAAAACAACAGGAGAAAAAAAATGTGGAAGACGACGGTACATTCGTGTCTAGACTCACGGCCCGCATCGTGGCCAACCTGCAGGTGACTCTACACGATGTGCACTTGAGGTACGAGGACGCAGTGGCCAATCCAGACGCTCCTTTTGCATGCGGCCTGATGCTCGAGCGATTTCGGTTTTTTACGACCGATGAAAAAGGTAAAGAGGCATTTGTGGACCAGGCCACGGTGCATCAAGCGTTCACGTACAAGAAGGCCGAGGCAACGCGGTTCGGAATGTACTGGGATCGCCTGGATGTGAGCGATAAAGACGCGAGATTAGAAATTAGAGACAATATCCCAAAGGCCCTGAGGGAAATGGTGCAGGCCCTGAGTGACCAACAAGCTGGCCACAGGAAGAGAAGGTGGATACTACGGCCATGTTCGTTGGCCGTGCAGCTCACGAAGAACGAGAGCGCCGACTACACGGCCGTGGCCAAGTACACAGTCGAAGCAGAAGTAGGCGCGCTACAAGGGAGCTTGACGCGCGAACAGTACGAAGATGTGTTGTTTCTACAGCGTGCATTCTTGGGCCGACGGGCAGTTGAGGCTCATTTTACTTTGGCCAGAGGCCGGCCACTACACTCACCAGCAGCGCGTCCTCGTGAGTGGTGGGACTATGCCACTCGTCTTGTTCTTGAGCAACGAAGAGCGAAACTTCGACGCGAAGCAGCCCACGACAAGAGTGATAACGGTGGCCAGACTCCTCGACGTCTTCATCAGCGTAAAATGCGCTGGTCTTCCGTCCACAAGGCCTTGCTAGAGCAGCAGCTATACATTGAAACGTACCGCACGGAGCTACGCAATGGAATGCCGTTGGATGTCTCGACCCGAGAGGGCAAATTGAAGCAGAAGTACGAAGAAATCTACCCGATAGACGTCATTCTACTGCTTCGTGACGTTGCAGAAGACGCAGAGGAACGCGCACAGATAGAGGCGAAGGCTACAGCAAAAGCACAAGCCAAGGCCCAGAGTGGAGGAGGCTCCTGGTACTCGTATTTCTTTGGCGGAGAAATTGATGCTGATGTTGAGTCAAGTGAAGCACAAGAGCACGTTCTGTCTGCTGAGGGTCGAGAGAATCTGCGTGAAGCGTACGATGATGCTGTGCAGAGGGCCAGCGCTGAAGTTCCAATGGGCTGTAACCTCATGTCGATCCAGATCCAGTTGACCGACGGGTCGATGGCTCTCTACCAGTCCAACTTACACGAAAGCCCGTTTGTCACTGGAATGCTCCACGGCTCGTTATCTGTGAACGTTCAGCCGCAAAACGAGTGGGACGCGAGCTTCTGTGTGCAGCATTTCGACATCTTGAATGGCCTGGCGCAGGACTCTCGGTTCCACTCGTTCTGCAGTCCGTCGGTCTCTATGAAGGACAATCCGAGTGCGTCTTGTGTCAGTATCGACGTTAGTCGACGAGCTGTGGTGCAGACCCAAGCTCAGAGCGATGACGTGGACGTGGACGCGACGCTGAGAGTTCGTACGCGCTCGCAGCCTATTCGCGTGTTGGTGGATCCGTCCTTTGTCATGTTCTTGCACACTTTCTTCGTCAGTCTCTTACCAGAGAAACAACTGGAGAAGGTCTGGGAGTTTGCCACGTCTTCTGTGGCCGATTGGATGTTTGCGGACGACTCTGCAGAGGATTCAAAGCTGGCAAAGTCCTCGAAAAAAAAGACCGAAGAAGCGGAACTAATCCGTTCACTAGAGAGAGCACAAGGCCGTGTAGCGTACGATGTGCTGGTGGATATGGACGCCCCTGTGTTGATTCTGCCGGAGAGCGTGGCTGATTCCGCTGGTGCTGTCGTGGTTGTGGATCTTGGCAAGTTACGTCTTCGCAATGACGAGAAGGTGACGGCTATCGATACGCCGTTAGACACGCCACTGGAGGCAACAGGAGACGATCCGCGTCGCTTACATTGGAGACTAGAGGTGACCCAGATTCACGTCTCTCTTGGGCGTCAGGAACAGTTAATACACTGGACGGACGAGGAACTTCGTGGCTTTAAGAAGATTGTGAAGGAATTATCGATGGACTTTTCGCTGCATACACAAGCTTCGTCCTCCCGTCTCAGACTCCCGTCGCGTACAAAGACTGCAGCCAAGCCTCTGCCTCAAGTGGGTATCTACGCTGACATCCCAACGATTGTGGTGTCATTGGCTGAAGAGCAACTTGTAGCTCTGGGTCATATTCACTCGTCGATACTCGACCAAGCTGCTGCTATTGCTAGAGGTAAGGAGGAGCGTTTATCTTATTTTGAAGACCAAGAGCAGGACAGTGGGGTGGAGAGTGCGACTGATTCTGGAAGCTCAGGTGGTAAGAGTACCGGTAGCGAGACTGCAGGGACGGAGAAGTTCCTGCTAGAGATGCAACTGTCGCTCGGGAGTGTGGAGTTGAATCTACGAGAGTCTGCAGTTAAGGACGCCTTTATCCTGCGCGCCTCTCACACTTCGTTCGCAGTGGAGGCGTTCTCGACTCATCAAGCGTTCCATGCTCGCTTGGGGGCTCTTGTGATGGAAGACAAGCTCTATTCTTCGGAGTCTCGCTTCTTTAAGCTTATTTCCACGGGCGAAGGTGAAGAGGAGGCTCCTCACTTGATCGCCATTGACGTTGTTAGTTTTTCTCGGAAATCTACAAGGAATGGACGTGATAGAACAGCGTCGCAACTGGAAGCGGACGTGCAATTTAATGTGCTGCATTTGCAGTGGAATCCGTCGTCCGTGGCGCTCTTCTATCGCATCATTTCAGCCTACGCGTCGGCCATTCAGTCTCGAGGCGACTTCCCGTCTGTAGACCCCACGTCAACTCCAACTCCAAAGCAATTATCGCCCGAGAATGAAGGTCAAGCATCAAAAAAGAAGGAACGAGTCGCTGACTTGTCCACCTTGCGGGCACAGGGCCAACCTGCTGTTGTGGTACGAGCGTCTTTGGTTCAGTTCAGTCTGACGTTCAACAAGGACCAACTGGATCGACAACTGGCGCGGTTAGAGATGACAAACTCTGCCATCAACTACACAAGCTACGACGTGGATAATGAACAGGACGCGTTTGAAGTTACTGGTCATGTGGGGAACTTTGTGGGTACGGACTTGAGTACATCCAAGCATCCACTGTACTTGACGCTGCTGGGCTTGGACGAGGATGCAGCGCGGCGCCGTAGCATCTCCGGACAAGCCGTAGAGGTGCTGCTGAGCTTCGAGTTTGCCAGTGACCCCATGACGAGTGACAAGAGCTCTCTACGACTGGCGTTCCAACCGATTCGAGGCGTTTACTACCATCAACAGATCTTGGAGCTTGTGGACTTTGTGCTGGAAGGAGTCCTGGGGGCGCTGGTGAGCCAGACGCTGATGAATGCTACGCAGATGTTACTAAGAGAAGACGAGGCCAGTGTGGTGTTGGACCTGAGTGTCGAGAAGCCTACGTTGATTCTCCCGTTACGTTTGGAAGATTCCCCTCATGCCAAGGTCACTGCAGACGTTCTACGACTTGAGCACTTTCCATCCAGTGCAGTACACTACGAAGGGCCGACAGGAGCAAGAACCAAGCGAGTTGCACATGACGAGGTGCTGCCTCGTGCTGTGGTCAGGTCTGACGCTGGTATTTCGTTGCGAGTGGACTGTAAGGACCTCTTTCTTGAACGAGTCCGTATTTACTGCACTACTACGAATCCTAAGAGAGCAAAGAGTGACGAAGGACCGGCGTATGAAGAGCTACTGCCCCAGTCTGCCGACCTAAAGATTAGTATCGAGGATCTCGTGTCGTCTACGGTCTCTATAGACGAAGACGTGGACGGCAGAACGAAGTTTCTTCCCAGAATTACAGTCAACTCGGTGCTACCCCCGCTAGAGGCCCACATATCCCGCACCAGTTATCTCGGTATTGTCGCGCTTATTCTGGAGAATTTTGGCGCTGAAGAACTGCAGAACACACCGACTACGAGCGGCGATGTGGACAGGAAGAGCAGCGGTTCGAGACTGCTAAACAGGAGACGAAGTAGTGCTGGCTTCGGAGAGCTGCCGTCGCTACGCCCCACTGTGACGTACACGTATCTCCAGCCTGACGCAGAGGAGGCAACGCTTCAAGTGCGATTCGTGATGGAGAAAGTCCGGATTCTGCTCTTCCAAGACGGACACGTCGATGCCTTGGCCAGCACAGACTTGTCAGCTGATGCGATTGCGCAGCGTACTTTGGTTGAGAGCGGCCAGGCTCCACGCACTGACGCGTTCGCTGAGGTTGTCGCTAGAGGGTTTTCTCTGGTGTTCGACGACGAGTATGAGAAGAATCCACGCTTGGCAGTCCCATCTTGGAGCGTTCAGTGCTCGGGATCTTGTGGGGAGATACAAACCTTCAGCCAGCGGTGATAGCGGCAAGCTACTGAAGTCTCCAGAGCCACTCGAGATACTCTACACGTGGGATGACAGCGCTCTAACGGGTGATCTGGACTTGTTCTTCTCTGAGGTCTCTGGTACAGTCATTCCGGAACCTCTGCTGACTCTCGTCGGCTTCTTTTCGCTGCCGTCGAGTTCGGGAACGAAAGACAAGAGCTCCACTGGATCAAAGAATGACGCTCTGCCGTCTCCTGCTCGAGTTCCGCCGTCTCCGTCTTTGTTGACGAGACGCGAGAGTATTTCGGATATCTTACGGGACGGCAAGGAGCCAGATCTGACCCTTACAGTCCGAGCCACGGCTACACAAGTGGGCGTTGCGCTTCCACGAGATGCGTATGACCCAGAGAGCCCACGAGTGGCGTTTGCTGGTGATTTCACACTCGAGTTTAAGTGGAAGCCGCATCCTGATCCGAAGAAGAAGCAGACAGACGAGGATCTGGATATCCAGAGCAGTATCATTGCAGACGCGAGGAACATGGAGATCGTGCTGCAGAATGCGAGACGTCCTGGCTGTTGTGTGGCGTCTCCATCTTCAAGCTCGCGATGGGATGCCATCGACGTGGCCCCGTTGATCCAGTTACTGGAGCCATGTTCTTTACACGTAGAAGTGAGTGACCTGTTCCCCCATGCTGGTCAACGGCAGCAGATTGTGGCGCTGAGTTTCACTGCGATCGAAGTGTTTGTGTCCTATGACGACGCGTGTATGGCGATGGAGACGATGGAGGCTCTTGATCAAGCAGTTGAGCAGCATGAAGGGCATCGAGCAGAGTCTCGACGTGAAAATTTAGCTTTCCAGTCTCTAGCGAGATCACGCACGTCATCCAAGAACATTGTGGAGGATACCGAAGTGGAGACTCATCGGTACCTTACCTGCGAACTACCGTCTGTGAGTCTGACGCTGATAAACGACTGCGATGGCTGTGATATGGGCCTAGCTCAGCTCCAGATTGAGCGCTGCCACTTGTTCTTGAACGTCACGTACACAGCGCAACTGGAAGAGCTGGAAGACGGAGTGTTCTTCGCTGACTCGGATGCTTGTTCGTCGACGATCTCTGGTGGAGGGAACCTGGTGGTGCTCATGGCGTATTATAACCCAGACACACGAGACTGGCATCCCATGTGTACGGAGTGGGGCCTGGATGCGTCGGTGCAAGGCTCGATCTCAAATGACAGTGAACTGCACGTCATTCTCACAGCGTCACAAGCGCTAGACCTCACTGTAACCCATGGGCTACTTGAGGTTGTGGCCTCTGTGGGAGGAGCCTGGAAGCGTCGTGCTGCTGCTGCAACACACGTAGAAGACAGAGAAGACGATGAGACCGAGCGCAGTAAGATGGCGCCGTGTGTGATACGCAATGAGACTGGGCTTCCACTGAGTTTCTGGCTCACAAATGGGTCGTTCACGACTGAACCTCAAGCCGTAGCCACAGGAAACCTCGCAGACGTCCGCTATCTCCACGCTCCAGGACGAGGACGCGGCGTGGCGCGACGCTACGCCTCAGGAGATCGAGAAGCGGCCGATCTGCGCCTCTGTCTGCAGCTGAAGAACGAGAGCGACAGCGCTCGATTCCAGGCTATTGAAGGCCTCATCTTCGAGCAATTAGGAGCTCGAGCCTTCCCTTTGGTCGACACACATGGAGAGCGGACCAGCTTCACACTAAGCTTATCGGCTCAACTGGTAGAAGGACGGATACTGCTGGTCGTGTCGTCGCCTATTAAGCTGGTCAACAGGTCGGCGTCTGGGCGCCCTGTGGCGCTTCTCGTCAACGACCCGACATGGCAGACACCAGTGGAGATTGGAGTCTTGCGGTCTAGCCAGGAATCGGCTGTACCCGTGCTGCTCTCTCTAGCGTCAGAGCTGCGTGTTCGACCTGTGGAGAATGGAGCGACGTATTCGTGGAGTGCTCCTATCCCCATCCAGACGCGATCTACTGTAGAACTGAAGGTAGAAGCCGCGGCGTCGTCCAGTTCAACGTCGCGCGAGAGCTTAGACGACCACGGGGACGGTCGGAATGCCGTGTACTGCGTCTCCATGGCAAGTGACAAGGAGATGCGCGCTGTGTCATTCGCTGAGCCTTTGGTCCTGGTCAACAAACTTCCCGTGCCTTTAACGTATCGTGTGCGATCCGCCTACAGCTCGTACGGCTCAGGATCGAGCGACAGTCCGTCAAAACCCGAGACGATCGCAGTAGGAGCGAAGACAAGTATCTGGTGGACGGACGTAGCGCAACGCCCTCTGTTCCAGCTGCTTGTAGAGGGCTGTACGTCTGCTTCCAAGTGGCTTGAACTCGCTCCAAGAGGCACCGCAAATGGCGCTGTCTTGTCGGTGCAACTCTCTCGCGTGGATGACGGACGTCACTTTCGACTTCTTCTTCGTGTTATGGGAGGCACAGAGCATACGGCACGCTCTGTACGCGTTGAGGTCTTGGCTGACGTCTGGGTTATCAACCGATCGGGCTTAGAGTTGGTATACGGCACTGCCGCAGACAGCGAAGCCTATATCCCGCCTCGTGCAGCTCGTGCCCAAGTGGGGAATGCACAGATCAGTGCCTACTCGAGAGATAACAGTGGGAAAATCCCCGTGATTCGCATTGGCGTTCGTGGCTGCAATTGGTCGGCGCGCTTTGAAGCAGATCCGCGGAGGCTGAGCTGGCAGGACGAGTGCATCACTCTCCTCTCGGCTGGGAGTAATACTGGCGTGTTGTATGAACTGGGCGTGTCTGCAGACTACGCGACGAGGCATTTCGGCTCAGTTACGACTCTGGTTAGCGTCATTCCTCGTTATCTGGTTCTCAACCGCTCGTCACACACGTTGCTACTGCTTGAAGCCTCGAAAAATCGACCGGATGACTCGAGTAACGCGAATGTGGCGCATCACGTGCTTGGATCAGGAGACATGTATGCGCTTTACTGGGTAGGGGGAGCTAGATCCCCACTGCGAACTTCTGTTCTACCAGAGGACGATGGATCGGAGCTCTGTAAAGACGGCTACGACTGGAGTGCAGCATTTGCGGTAGACCGAGTGGGCACGTCCGACTTGCTAGTACCACCACGATCCAGTGGCCGCGGTGTGCCGTTGGAAGTGGAAGTGAAGCGAGGGAGTCTCTCGCAAGCGACTTTTGTAGTGGTGGTGAGTGACGAAGGCGCTGTATCTCCCACGTCTACGTCGTCCAGACTCTCAACTGCTGGCTCTACTGTCTCAAGGGATACAGCTACATGTGCGACGGACTGGCAGACATTCAGTCTTCACGCTCAAGTGGCTGGAGTGATTCTCACCGTCACAGACAGGAAACAAGGAGGAAACGGAGGCGAGTCGCAGTTGTTTGCTGGATCGGAAGGGGAAAGTGAACCGGTAGCACGGGCGACGTTGACCCGGATCGGGTTGGAGGCGTCTTGGTCGCCGCAAGCTACTGCAGCGAAGGTGAATCTCATGGGTCTTAAGGTGGAAGATCTGCTGCCACAGAGTAAGAACCGTGTCGTGCTGAGACCGATGCTACAGTCTGACGGCGTTGGCTCCAGTACGGACAAATATTTCCTGGAATTGACATATTTGGAGCGACCACACGCCAAGTACACGTGGGTCGAGCGTGTGCATTTGGAGCTACAGAATGCAAAAGTCTCGACGTCTATGAGCTTCGTGGACCGCCTGAATAAACTGCACAAGGAGACGATCGCGCACTTTCAACACAAGTCGCTGGTCTCGGCTTTCCCCAGTGAGGAAGACGTTGAGATGGAGGAAGAAGGAGACTTACTTTCGTATTTTGTGCCTGAGGATGGAGGAGAAGGCACCGACATGGCCTCTATGACGGGGAGGAAGCTCTACATCGCGTCGGGGGAGATCTCTCCTGTCCGTGTCGTTGTGAGCTTCACTCGGGACAAAAGCGACTCAGGTAACGAAGGCTTCTGGCTGTCGAATCTTAAGCTGAAGATCGAGAACGCGTGCGTCACGTTAGAGGGATATCGCCTTTCGCACGCGCTGGCTACGCAGGAGTCTCTGGGTGCTGCGATTGTGAGGTTTTATGAGCAATCTGTCAAGTCTCAGGCGCTTAATCTCATCGATTCCATTGAAGTGACGTCGCTCGTGACGAGTATGGTGACAGGCGGCGTCACGTCGCTAGTCTCGACGCTGAGAGGCAAAGCAGACCCAGCTGCAGCCGCCGGTGCGATGGCTCCTGGTCTGCTGACGTCAAGTGCGGACGGGGACAGTTCATTGGGCAGTCCGTTCCGCTACGAGCACATGTCGAATGGAGAAATCGTTCGGAAGCATTCCAAGGCTTTAGGAGAATGCCACAACAGCGCAGAGTTCTTGAGGCAAGTTCGACATTTGGTGTACGACTGGGACGCCAACCACACGGGGCTGGAAGCGCGTGGCTGTGTCGCACTCGCTCTGATCAACAACTCGCGGCACTCATTAGTGGTGAACACTCAGCTAAATGATGGAGCGTCGCTGAAAGTTCTGCCGCTTGGACGACGCCATTTGGCGAGTGTGCTGGATACTGGAACGGCGTCAAGTGGAGGCACGACGGCGTGGGGACCAGATCGCGCTCTTGTGGTGTTTGCGTATGGCTACACCCCGACGCTACTGACGTCAGGGGATGTGTACTTCACGGTGCAGTCGAATGCCTGCAATGTGTACGCCACCCGGAAGACAGCTCGACTGAAGGCCAACCGAGGATACACAGCTACATTCACCCTGCAAGAAACGCAGAGCTGGTGGTCTGCCAACGTGGTGATCATTGGGGACGACTTGCAAGCGAGTGACAGTTCTGCGTCTGCTTCAGACTCGGATTCGCTCTTTGGAGAGGCACCAAGTGGCCAGGACAGCGAGGAGTACGAGGTCGAGTTCGCAGAAGCATCGCTGGGTCTCGTTGCCAAGCAGAGTGGACGATCTGTGATTGTGCGGGAGTGTGTGCGGTCCAGTGCGGCTGAAGCGTCGGGACGGATCGCTGCGGGCGACTGCATCCTCGCAGTGAACGGGGTGAGTGTAGCGAACACAGCCCAGTTCAAGACCCTGGTGAGCAGAACACCACGACCGATCGTTTTGCGATTTCGAGCCACTGGCCGCAGCTCCAACGCAGCCTACGACCTCTTTGGCGAGCGCTAACGAGAATAATCAAGTGGCCAGTTTAGACCGCACACTTATCATGTCAATTTTATGGAGTTTCATCTAACCGATGCGACTATTTTGTGTGTGTGTGTTTCGAGCAAAGATGTACAGCGTCATCCAGCTACCAGCACGATTCAGGCCAAGAAATGACAAGGAGGAGGTCAAGCATGAGGCGTCACTGCGTGACAAGCTCCAGGCGCTGCGTTCCAAACGGGCAGTGACGTTTCTCCGAGCCAAAGCCACACAGCGCGCCGGCATTCAATCGCTCGCTGCGATCGTCGGTAGCACTAGCAACGCTGTGCTGGTATTTCTACGGTCTCTACGCCATCTCGCACTCGGGTTTTACCGTGGAAAGCTTGAGAAATTGAGAGCGTGGATCGGAGGTCAGAAGTGGGGGAGGAAGCGTTGGGCGCTCATCAGCCACAAGAGCGTCAGGAAAATGATGCAGAGAACTCTTGGGCGCAGTGCAGACAAAGAACGACAGCAACAAGCACGGATCTACCGGCGGATGTGTCGGGCGTTGGCTCGCTTGGGACGATCAGCAATTGCTATTGCTCACAAGCGACGAAGGGCTGAGAGTGCAGCAATTGTAGCCCAAGAAACCGCTGATACAATAATGAAGAAGGCAGCTGGGAAGGTTGCAGTAATGCGAGGACGTGAGCGCTCGAGGAACAGCGCACGAGTGATCCAACGACGGTGGAGACGCGTCAAAAGCAACCAACGAGCGGGCATTGAAGCTAAAGTGCGAGTGTTGCGTTTACTCACAAGCTTACCTTTGCACCTTCGAGAGTACCAAGATACGCAACGACAACAACTGAAAAGTGTACACGAGACTAGTGCAACCACTGTCACTTTCTGTATCCGTCGTGCGGCACAGCGGGTGGCTATGCATCTGATTCAACGAGTGTGGCGAGGGTATTGTGAACGGAAGCGCGTGCGCCGAATTCGAGAGTGGGAACGGAAGAAATTTGTGCGTCAAAGACAACGGGAACGTCTGCGAGAGGCTCGTGGAGCGTTGTTGGAGCCTTCGGAAGTGGAGAAAAGGCGCCGAAAAGTAAAGGAAACACGAATGCTAGCACGTCAAGAGATAGTAAGACCTCCACTGCAATCTCAAGGTCGATACCAACGCAGAAGAGGGGGACGGGTCACGCTATTGGATCCTCTGCCTCTACAGTCAAGACCATCGTTTCATTTCTCTAGTACTGGGACTAAGGTGCAGTGCGTGCCATTCAGTCGCTTCGAGAAGATTATTGCACGAGATGCTCGAGTAAATCTGAATAATGTGTGCGTAGCGATCCCAGTTGGACACCAGGAAGTGCTACGTGATTGGGAGGAGCTAAAACGTGGGGAATTGAATCCATTGTTAGTTGGAAAAGGACGGAGAAGGCAGAAAGGAGCTCTGCATACGACGTACGACTGGATTCCAGCTTATCTACTGCTGAGTACAGAGGAGAGAGAAACACGTCGACAGCGAGTAACAAGTCCATCTGTAGCCAGGGCCATTCTCGAGTATTAACACTAAAGTGAACGACAGTAGAAGGGTTCGACTGGGATCTTGGTAATAATACCGTCTCAGACGCCTAGGCTTTTAAATCGAATAAAAAAGTTAATTATGAGTACAATAGCCGAACCTCGTGTAGTACGCCCAGTCAAATAGAGCGCCTACCCAGCTGGGGTGTAGGGTGCATTGCATACCAGTAGCAGTTTAAATGCTTCATGACCAACCAATTGACTGGAGATTGGAGCTGAAACCGCTCCTGAACAGTCAGTCATTTTTCATTTTCTATCTACCATGACAGCCAAGAAGCGAACCAGCTACAGTCTGCAGTTCAAGCTAAGTGTAAATAGTGAATACAGGGCCGGTGTTGACGGTTCTGGCTTTCACGCGCTTGCTAAGAAGCACAAGGTGACGCCGTCCATGGTCAGAAACTGGAGGGACCGCACGGACTTGCTGGTCAACGCATCGAAGAGCCGCCAACTCGCTACCCGTTCACGACGGAGGATGCCAGGATCAGGCAGAAAACTAGAGCACCACGCACTAGAGCAACAGGTTTACGACTGGGTGGTAACACGAAACCGTTAGGGCGTGTGAAAGACAAGTACATATAACTCCATGCACTCAACATCCATCGTGCCATGATGGCTCGACCCCGGAAGAAGATCGTCGCGAGTTTCAAACGTCCTCGGGCTGGCTGGTCCGATTTAAAGACCGTAACAACCTTGTTTCCAGGAGGCAGACCAGCGCAAGATCTCTTCCAGAGAATGCAAGCTAAGTTTATCTTTGATTTTATCAAAATTGCATAACAACTGATCGATCAACACAATATACAGTCTTGCAACGTCATCAACATTGACCAAGTCCCGAGATATTTCGAGACTGAGCCGAAGTAGACTATTACAACCCGTGGGGTGAGAGAAGTTCTGTAACGGGGTACGTAGCCCTAAGTGTACCCTGGTTACATGAAGTGTGACACCTCACACTTCAGGTGTATGACACGTCATACTCCGGGATATTTGGTACAAGGTACCAAGGTCGTTCAAAGCCAACCATTGGCCAAACGACATTGCATTTCTATAGGTGACTTATAGTTTGTATTAAACCCAAACTTAACCTACCTATACATATACTCAGTTTACATCTACCTTATTTAGGTCACTTCGCTCTCTTTAGAATAAAGAGGGGACCTGTGAACTGCGCTCACTGAGAGTTTGTATACTCTCGGAAGATAACTTCCTCTAGCGCAAGGTGCTGTGTGACCCCGTCACACTTGGTAGCACTAGTAGTCAATCCACGCCACCGTGGGTAGACTACCTGAACCTCTCCGAAGTTCGTTGCCATGGATAGGAACGACTTCTCCCATATGAACGACTCTCAGTTCGAGTCGGTTCGGAAGATGGCAGGCATCTTCGGGATGGAGGCCCTGCAGAGCCTGGTGGTGTCAACACCGGTCGAGCAGCTCGAGCGCGTCAATGCGTTTGATGTGTACGAGCAGGGGCTCATCGCGCATGTGCGGGAGAACCTGCAGGCTCCGGCGGCGGAAGCAAATCCACCTCACCCGAAGCTAATACGGCTGAAGATTAAGCCGTATAAAGGAAAGGAAGGCGAGAACCTTCACTTCTGGGTCCGAGAAGTAGAGCTCGCGATGGACGCGGCTCTGATCTCGACCGAGCAACTGCGTGTTGCTTTTGCACTCTCCAACCTTAGCGACCGTGCTAAGAGTTGGGTGTACACACGGGAAGCAACATCCCCTGGATGTTTCACATCCTGGGCTCAGCTGTGTGAACAGCTCCGAGCAGCGTTCCTCCCGGCGAACTACGAGTACCGCCAGCGTTCGCGCTTCCTCTCGTGTAAGCAAGGGAGGCGCGAACTGCACGAGTATGTGCAAGAGATACGGGAGCTCACGGCGTCCCTAGTGGGAATCCCACTCATCGAACACATCAAGATGACTGTGCTCATGGACGGCCTTCGAGTGGGCCCCGCACGCACTCAGCTGTTCCGGGTGCAGTCAAGCACCCTTGAAGAGGCGGTTCAAGTGGCTCTTCAAGAAGAGTACAGCCATCACCAGGCGCGTACGCCGGCCTCAGCATGGCCTGGGAGTTCCTTGTCGACTCCCGGTCGAACAAGCTCCAACGGACCAGTTCCCATGGAACTCAGGTCCGCCGAACAGCGTGACATCCGCTGCTTCGGCTGCGGGAAGATGGGCTACTGCAAGCGCGACTATCCCGCGAAGCCCGTCCTCAAGGGTCGCTGGCAGAAGCCAGGATCCCGAGGACAGGGGAACGCTGGGAACCAGTAGGGGTTGGGCGCCCTACTGGGGAAGAACTAAGTCTTCGAGATGGGTGCGCGGGTGGCGCGTACCACGAGACTTAGCCCCTGAGAGTCTTCGCACTCTCGAATCGGCGAAGAGCAGCGGCGGGTTGCTCGTAGTACACGGATGTGTACGGGGATACGATCATCCCTTAATAATCTTGATCGATTTTGGGGCGTCGAAGCATTTCGCACGCCGCCAGACGATTGCTCGTAATAGCAACAAGTTGTCCGATTCTTTGAGAGAAAGCAAGGGCAACGGGACGGTGTCAGTGCGACTGGCCGACGGGAAGGTCGTCACTGTCCCCAACGTCAAGTGAATCTGTCCGTCAAGTTTGAAGACTTTGACAGCCTCGAACAGTTCACTGTTCTCGATATGGATCCATATGATATGATCCTGGGCATGCCCTGGCTGGAGAAGCACGAACCCTGGATCGACTGGCGAGGCAAAGCAATTGGTGCCAGCCGCCCTGCGCAGTCCGACAGAGCATTGGTGAGTCATGTTCCCACCTCTGTCAGGACCCGGGGCGCCCGCAAGGGCTGCCAGGGAACTAAAGCATCCGGCCAATGCTTGGGAGTCGTCGACGTAAATGGCGACTCCGAGGACGTTTTGATGGTGGCAGCGCCCAGAAGAGGCGCTGGCCAAGTGGGTAATTTTGGTCCACAGGCGGATAACTTAGCTCCGCAGACAGCTGCAGCTGTCACGAACACTGAGAACAGCGTGTTCAGAGTGGGTAACAGTGTTCCACTCACGGTCGCCCAGACCTTAACTGAAGAGGAAGGCGTCGAGCACGCTTCCTGTGTGGGTAACACAGTGCCACACGCGGTCGCCCAGACCTTAACTGAAGAGGAAGGCGTCGAACACGCTTCCTGTGTGGGTACCACGGTACCACACGAGGCCACGAGTGCCTCGGATGTCGTAGCGCCGACATCCCTAGACGTGGACAGCAAAGCTCGACGTCACGGTCGCCGTCGTCAACGACGCCGCCGCCGCCTCAAGTCGGATCCGAACTTCGTTCCGATCGACGTCGCTTCAAGCGACTCGGAGTCCAGGGCCCGGGCTCCTCCGACAAGGCCGATGGAAGAATGCTCATCACATCTTTGATGGCGAGACCGGTTTACCCGTCAAGGCATCTGGTGTCCACTTGGAATCGTTGCTAGAGGTTGCAGAGATACTGAACCTCGAGGAAATGACGGCTGAGACTTTCCTGGCCAGCCCCACGGCTGGAGGGATTGCTGAGATGGTGCTCATGAGACCTGAGACCACTCGGGAGGAGCTGAACGCCTCCTCTGTCTTGGACGAGAACGTCCTGGAAGACCTAAACAAGCAGCGTCAGACGTGCTTGGGCTCTGAGATCCTTAAGAACCCCCAGGATCCGGTGTATCCTTTGGTGACGGAGTATGCGGACGTGGTGAACAAACACCCACCGACCCAACTCCCACCGGATCGAGGAGTACGGCATGAGATCGATATCGTGCCTGGCACAACGTATTGTGTCACGAGGCAATGGCCTCTCCCGCGCGAACAGTGCGAGGTCATTGATGCCTTCTTCGCCGCGAAAGCGAAGGCAGGCATGGTGCGGGAGTCGAAATCCCCGCACTCGACACCGACTTTCTGCGTTCGGAAGCTGAGCGGAAAGTGGCGTCTAGTTCATGCTTACAACAAGCTGAACAACGCGACGGTGCCGGCCCAAACACCAATCCCACGAAAGGATGTGTTGTTAAACAACATGGCCGGGAGCGTACTGTACAGTGCGCTGGATTTGGTAGACGGATACTACCAGATCCTGATACGAGAGAGTGACATTCCGCTCACCGCGGTGAGCGCTCCAAGCGGCATGCTTTGAGAGTGGCACGTCATGTCGCAGGGCTTGTCTAATACCCCGGCGACGTTCAACCGCATGGTGACGCAAATGTTCCGGCCACTACGTGCCTTCGTACAGACGTACTTCGACGGCAACTTCGTCCATAGCCGTCCCGAGGGAGGCAAGACGGCCATGGAGGTGCATCTGGGGCACCTCCGTCGAGTGTTGGACGTGCTGCGAGCGAAAAGGCGCTACGCCAACATCGACAAGTGCGTTTTCGCGTCACCAGAGATTAAGGTCCTCGGTTGCTTCGTAAGCAACGTGGGCGTTCGGGCTGACCCAGACAAGGTCAAGGCCATAGCAGCATGGCCGACGCCCCGATCCCAGAAGGATCTTCGAAAGTGGTTGGGCTTGGCCAACTACCTTCACAAGTACAGCGCAGGGTACGCGGGCTTCGCTAAGCCCTTGTCGAGCCCCCTTGAGAAGGGCGTCAACTGGAGCTGGGAGCACCAGGTTGCTTTTGACAGCATCAAGGCCAGTCTCCAAGAGGCCCCTGTCCTGGCCCTGCCGGACGAGACGAAGCCTTTTAGCGTCGTCTGCGATGTCTCCGACTACGCCATCGGGTGTGCACTGCTGCAGGCCGACACGGCTGGACACGAACGAGTCATCTCGTTCCAGTCCAGGCAGCTCAAAGCCGCCGAACGGAACTACCCTGTCCACGACAAGGATCTCCTGGCAATGAAGTATGCCCTTGTGAGGTTTCGGGTTCACCTTCTAGGCTCACGGCCTTTTGTGATGTACACAGACCACGCATCCTTTAGGACGGCCACAAATTCGCCTCACCTCTCCCAACGGATGGCGAGGTGGCTGTCCTTCTTCGCGGAGTACAACGTCCGCGTCGAGTACAAGCCGGGCAAGCTCAACGTGCTTGCGGACGCCCTCTCTCGGCGTCCTGACTACGAGCTGGCTCACATCACACGGGTGACAACGGATCTATATGATCGGATTCGCATGGCGTATCGAGACGATGAGAAGGTCGCGCCTATAGTCAAGTTCCTCACGGCAGGAACGAGCGCGAAGTCCGACTAGCTTTCGTCGCGACAGCGCTCCCGTCTCCACCGATATGAGTTGAAGGATGGACTCCTCTATTACCGGCTGGAGCCCAATGAATCTCCACGGGTGGTCGTACCCAACGACGAGGATATGAAGTTTAATATCCTCGCGGAGGCGCACGACGCGCCCTCCAGCGGCCACTTCGGCCGCGAGAAGACCTTTCTGTCGGTCTCTCAGTCCTTCTGGTGGACCCACATGTACAAGTGGGTCGCCCGGTACGTTAAGACATGCGAAACATGTCAGCGGGTCAAACCCGCAGGGCACTCTTCGGCTCCACTACAGAGCCTGCCCACTGTTGGAAGTCGATGGGTCTTGACTTCATCTTTGGGCTTCCCGCCGACGGACACGGCAACACCGGAATTTTGGTGTTCGTGTGTCGGCTGAGCAAAATGTTACATCTTGCTCCGGTTCCCGTCACTGTTACGGGCGAACAAACCGCAAGGTTGTTCGTCGATGGCGTGTTCCGCTATCACGGTCTCCCGGAGACGATTGTCTCGGACCGAGACCCGCGGTTCACTGCTGCGTTTTGGAAAACGCTGTTTCCTTTACTGGGAACTTGTCTGCAGATGTCCACTGCGGACCATCCGCAGACAGACGGCCAGACAGAGCGCGGCAATCGAGTGCTCGAGGACACTCTGCGCAGTGTGTGCGCGGCAGCACCACGT